GAATGCTCTTCTGAATTTGGAATAGTCAGTGCATACAGATATGGGGCTGGAATAAATCCATCATTATAGCAGTTCTTACAGTTAAGATGAAATAGTGAGGAATAAGATTTATTAGCAGCAGTTCTCAAATGTTGAAGACTCAGGTCTGTTAATCTTTGAACAACAAGAAAGGAGGACTTCTGCAGCCCACAACTGCCCAGTAAGTACTTTTGCAGAGAAATCTATCCTATGTAGCTTCTTACATTTCTCTCATCCATCAGTTCACATACATATATGAAAGCAGTAGAGACTGCTTTCTAGCAGCTACCAGGAGCTGCTAGAAAATGTTAACATTGCCACTATTTAAAGCAGGGGTCTCAAACTCGCGGCCCGCGGGCCAATTGCCGGACGGACGGGGCACGGGGGAGGGGCCCTGTGGCCTTCAAAGTGCACCGGCGCCCGGGCCGGCCTCCAGGAGCGACGCGGGATGAGCGGCCCACCACCATTTTTGTGGAATACTTGATGCGGCCCAGCCTCACCCAGACTCTACTTCCAGCGGCCCCCAGGTAAGCTGAGTGTGAGACCCCTGATTTAAAGGCTTCAATCCATGCCTTATACTCAACAGTCTGAATCCCCATTTCCAGATAAATGGCTGCATTCTGCACAAAGGGAGGAAGGCCCAGGAGCTTCCTAAGCAAGCAGACTGGGCTTTTTCCATTTGGGCATGAAATCCCAACATCCAAGTAGGGATGCCATAAGTAAGCTGGGTCAAGGTCTTTGCTTTTTAAATTTGTATTGCACAGGGGATATAATGTCCACCTGGAGTTAAAAAAAGAATCTTAAGAATTGCTACTGATTGAAGTTTGCTGATTCAGTTGCTTGTCTACATTATTCAGACCGAAGTGCTGTATTCGCATTTGTATACCTAGATAGTTTATATGGGAAACTTGGTTAATGATACTGCCATTTAAATTTCTCTAGCTGTAGAGAACACCAAGCCTTCAGACTTATTCTAATGGATGCTCAGGCTGTTCATGGAGTTAATAGATTTCTACCAGAAATGGAGATACACTTCTCTGCCAAATGAGCCATGGCTAACACACTGCAATAGTCCAAAGTTGAACAGCCAACTTCAAACCTGGTCTGTTCCTCATCTATTATACAATTAACTTCCATCAAGATTAAAATGTCCCCTTTGCTGTTTAACATCTACATGAAACCGCTGGGAGAGGTCATCAGGAGGTGTGGGCTGCGGAATCATCAGTACGCTGATGATACCCAGCTCTACCTCTCGTTTTCCACCAATCCAGGTGAGGCAGTGGCTGTGCTGAACCGGTGCCTGGCCAAGGTAATGGGCTGGATGAGGGCCAATAAACTGAAGCTCAGTCCAGACAAGATGGAGGTCCTGTTGGTTGGTGGATCGGGCTTCGGAGAGGGTGGATTTGACCTAGTCCTGAATGGGGTTGCACTCCCTCTTAGGGACAAGGTCCACAGCTTGGGAGTGCTCCTCGACCCGGAGCTTTCATTGGAAGCTCAGGTGACAGCAGTGGTGAGGAGCGCTTTCCTTCAGCTTCGGCTGATCCATCAGCTGCGCCCCTACCTGGAGTACGACTGCCTGGCGACGGTGACACACGTGCTGGTGACTTCCCGCCTTGACTTCTGTAACGCGCTTTACGTGGGGCTACCCTTGAAGACGGTCCGGATACTTCAATTGGTTCAAAATAGAGCTGCCAGGCTGCTGACGGGGATGGGGCATTATGTTCACATGACTCCAGTCCTCTGTCAGCTTCACTGGCTTCCCATTGAAGTCCGGGCCCAATTCAAGGTGTTGGTGATGACCTATAAAGCCCTAAACGGCTTGGGTCCTGGTTACCTGAAGGAGCGCTTACATCCATGTATGCCCGGCCACCCCTTGAGATCTGCAGGAGAGGCCCTTCTCCGGGAACCGTCTGTGAAAGAAATTAGGAGCGTAGGTACTCGGAGGAGGGCTTTCTCTGCGGTGGCGCCTAATCTATGGAATGCGCTCCCCAGAGAGGTCCGCCTGGCGCTGTCGTTATTTGTTTTTCGGCACCAGGCAAAGACCTTTTTATTTAAGTGTCATTTTAATTGTTAACAATATCTGCTTATTTATCTGGCCAGGGCGACTTCTTTTATATTGTTATTTATTTTATATTGTTAATTTTATATTGTTATTTGTGTATTTTATTGCATTTTCTTTTGTGTTGTGAGCCGCCCCAAGGCTTCGGCAAGGGGCGGCATAGAAATGTTTTAATAAATAAATAAAATCTTATGTTTTAAGTACCTTGCATAAAGTTTCCCAATGACTGAAAGAAGGCTGATAGGCCGATAATTGGCAGGATTAGTCCTGTCACCATTTTCATAGATGGGAACTGTGATAGCGTCACTTCAGCTATCAGAAATCCTCCCAGAGGTATTAATATAAGTAAACAATAGAGAAGCTCAGCATTCTGGGTTTGATTTTAAAAGATCAGGTAGGACAAAATCTGGGCCAGGCACTTTACCAGACTTCAGTATGACAATCAAATCAATAATGTCACTGTGAGTGACAGGTTGCTATTCAGGAACATCAGACAACAATCAGAGGCCATACAAGGAAAAAGAATTAGAGTCCTGCAGTGTTGCAGAAAAATGTATTTCTAAATGTGAGTGGGAAAGACAACAGGCAGGATATTCATGTTGTTCTGACACAACTCCTATTACAGGTTGTCAATTATCCTTCTTTTGTACAGCACATAAAAAGATGGGGTTTATTACTAACTCTATTCTTTTGGCTTATTAAAAGTTTATATTGTTTCAACTTATAACAATGCTGGTAAACATTTGTCTGCATTAACTCAACATGCAGAATAAACCTGCCTAATCTTATTCTTAGACAGTCTATATTTATTGCCAAACAACCTTTTGTTTCTACAATATTTATTACCAACCAGGGAACTCTCTGCCACTAGAGTCCTCTGTATTATACAGATTAATATCTCATACCGAAACAGCTTTTTACATCAGTAGAAGCTAAAAATGTCATGATATAGTTGCAGATCAACAGGGGATGCTATGAATGAGTCAGATGTACTCTAAAATTCTTATTGTCCACTTGATCCCTCTCACACAAGGGGGCAGGGAAGAAAGAAAATGGAATGAAGAATGGGTAAATGGACTTTAGTTCAATTAATGTCACTGTTCGTACAATTATCAGCATTAATGCCTTAATAGCTCTCCTGAAAGACTGATAGACAAGCACATAGTCAACAACGCTGTTCCCTAGCACTGAGCTAAAGGTGAACTCACCCAGCATATCACCTAGAGTACTTCCATTCAAGATAATTTTCGTGTCAGTGTCTTAAAAGTGCTAACTGCACGCCAGCTAAGTTTTGGATGACATCCTCAGAATGTCTGGTATACAGAAAGCATCCTATCATATGGTTAATTCATTGAAGATGTTGAGATTCCACTAGTGAACTGTCATCAGGGCCCACCAGCCATAAGGACTTCAATAGAACAAAATGTAAAAGGACGTATCTCCTCTCTACTGTTCCACACAAGCAAAAAGCAGTACAGATAGAGATGTGATTGCCAGGGGGCAGGGGGAAGAGTAAGAAGGAGGAAAACAATTAAGGGTTTTCTGCGGCAACTCAGCATCTGCAGTCAAATCCATTTGAGAGAGCAAGGCCTGGTGCAGTAGCACCAGCTGGTACTGGCTGTCACCACCAAGCGTGAACAAAGCCAGTTCCTCAGTTCTCAAGCACGCTGTGTCCCTTGTGAAGGATCCCACCAAGGTCCTTTGTGTTGCGTTTCTTTCTGCCTATCTGTGTCCTTTCAGAGCACAGCTAGATTGCAGATTGTATTCAGCATTCTGCCTACAACCTGGGTGTTGAGACTGTGCAGCAAGACCCCAAGATGTGGCACATCCCTTGTGATCCCTCCCTCTTTAAACCCCAAAGTATATAGCCTGGATGAAAACGGGGTAAAAGATTTATTAAGGATTCAGAAAAGGTACAGAATACAAAATGTTTGGTCAGATGCCGTGCACATACCAATAAGCAGTTCAAGTGATGAATCAGTATAAAGGACAAACAAAAAAAGGAAAATACAATCTAGCTAGCACAGCCCAGTGCAAACGGTATGCTTGGTTCCTTGAAGACCCACAATGTCCATGGCAAGGTTCTCCTGGTAACTGTGTTAGATCTTTCCCTGGAGCCTGCAGGGAAACACTTGTGCAATTTTTCCTTTCCCTGTCTCCTCTACTTCCTGATGGACTTGTTCATAGCACCCAGACTGCAAAAGAAAGGCTCCAAGATACTTCTTCAGTAGCGTGTATCTCCTCTGGTCCCTCCCAGTTTGGCAGGGTAGAGATTCCAGGAGAATCTCTTATTTTTCTCTGCTGACTGTCTGGAAATGGCTTGCCCCCATGTGGACTCCAGGGGATTCCTAATGCTCAGGCACCAGGATGATTTGATCACCCATAGTTTTACTAAGAGGTAGCACTTGGCATACAGAATGCCTCTACCAGGCCATATGCATTGCAATACCAGCATCACTTAAGCAGAGATCTACAGTTGTTAACAAAAAGAGGAGGGGTTTTTCTCCTCTTGGGCCTGGGAAAGATGCAGTCAGTATAGACTGGCTGAGCAGACACTCCAGGCCAACCATAGCAGTTTTTTCTATTTTTCCCAAAGATACAGAGAAAATTGAAAGGTTATTTCCCCATTTTTCCTGGGGCTTTTAAAGTTTTTTCCAAGTCTTCACACCTCTAAGTATAGAACACACACCTTCCCTTCTCCTCAGACAGGAAGCAGCCTTATACCATATTGGCTTCTTTGTCCGTGCAGCCCAATCTTATATCTAGGGATTGGCAGAACCTCTTTAAGAGCCGGAATCCTCTTTCATTGCACAGAATTTGGGGTTTTAAACTTCAAGATATAGCACAGCTTGGACTGCAGTTCCAAATGGGAGGTGACTCTCATCTTCATTCTCATTCTGAAATGTACAAAATTGTGCAGTACCTTGCAGAATTAAAGGTTTGTACCAGCTCATCTAATATCCGGTTATTTTTCAGGTCAGGTCCTGTAGCCGCCTAGAACACAACAGAAAATGTTCAAGCATTCTTCTATTTCTACTCAAACTTTCTGTATTTAAAAGGAAAACATAAAACTAAGATATATACCATCTATCCTGAAAATACTGAAGTAACTATAACAGGCATCTGTATTGAAAATCTTTGAAATGTTACATAAGGTTAAGTCCATGTTATAAAATAATAATGCATCCCAGGGAAAGTTATAAACTCTTTGATTTCAAGCAATTCTTTGTTTTATCATAGCTGCAGCTAGATTTCAGAATACAAAAGCACATAGTAGAGAACAGTAACAATGTAAAGCTACAAATAGGAGTGGGGAGAAACAGAACACAGAACAAAAGCAGAAATAAGATTATTTGCTCCAGATACATACACAAAATATGCATGAAAGAACAGCAATGGGAAGTTGTAGAGCATGAAGACATTCAACTCTCAGAAGTCTATAATGTCATTCATGCCTTTAGGATCAAGGTTTGATGGGCAGCCATCTTCCCAAAGGTTATCAAAACCTTTGCTGCAGTTAGCATTCCAGGCAAGCCATTGTTTGAAGCAGCACACGAGGGCCCAACAAGCTTAAAGTTTGAAATCCACTAATGCTAATATGGACTAATCCTAAAAAGGGCTCATAAAGTTGACTGTCCAGCAAGATACTGAAGGTCAACATGCTGCACATATATCATACTAGAAGCTTCATTCTCTATATACAAAACATTACCCCACGTCTACTACAGTCCCAGAGAAGAAAACTGTTTGGATACCTTTTGAATATTAGTGGTTTAGAGGCTACATGAAGCGACTTGAAACCTAGAAGATCTAGGCAGCCATGAAGTCAGGTGTGGAACTTGGAAATTTGGGGGCAAAGTTATATTTCTACGGGAGAATTCAGGCAAGTATCCACTATCTGTAAAAAGGCCCCTACCTCATATTGCTGGGGTGAGAACAAATTTAAGCTAAAACATATACTTTGAAAATTAAATATCGTGTAAGTATGTAACAATAACAGAGAGAGCCTAGAATTGGCATCTGCACAGGATAAGCCAAAATACAAGGATTTCTCAAAAGGGAATGCCCTAGAGAACTGCAGGGTCCCACACATCAATGAAGATAAAGTACTGAATGATATCTGCCTAGTGTTCCACCTAAACTTCCAAAATACTAAAGCCAGGCACACACTGGGATAGTATGAGCTTGTGATCTCCAAGTTTTTTCATTATGTACAATGGCATTTGTTTAAACAGTAACAGTAAAACAGGAGTTTAACACTTACCACACAACATGTAGGACACTGAGGTTTGTAGGACAGAGACCTGCGAATGCAAAGGGAACAATCTGGAAGAAAAAACACAATACATAATTAGAACAGTGGCACTTTAGCAAAAGTACATTTTTTCCAGTTCACTTCAAGATGAAAAAACTAAAGTATACACTGCAAAAACCCATTCGATCAGCAGGATGTTTTTTTTTATTTTTGTGATCATCATTTTAATGGCAAACAAATATACCTCATAACAAGTCACTTCAAGAACTTGTATAAGGCAGTCTTGCAAGTAGCACAAAACTTTCATAGGCATATAATGCATCTAATTACTACCATACATACCATTGCATGACATAAAAAGCTGTAAGAAATGGTGTTTCTACTTTTCCATGCATTAGTCCTGCAGTAATGTATCTAATTCTTAAGCAACAATCAGTATTAAGCAATAGTTTAGAGTAAAGCTACATGAATTCTTACACTGATCTCTTATGCTGAATTCAGACTATATCCAAGAAAAGAGAGTACAAATAATTGCTGTTATAAAAACATATTTGTTGTTCTGTACTGTCTTTTTTATCTCTGACAAGCCTAGGAATGAAAGCTCTCCAAAATGTCAAGTCCTTTAAAGCCTTGCTCAGCTCTTGCAAACTCAAGATTTCCTTTATGGAATCAATCCACTTCATAGTTGGTCTTCCTCTCCCTTTGACTTTTCCAAGCATTATTGTTTTCTCTAGTGACTCTTGCCTTCTCATGATATGCCCAAATTATTTCAATAAAATTGTGTTTTAAAGTAAGTTAAAAATGAAACAGCCACATCAAAGTATATGTACATATACAAAAACTGAATCTATGACCCTCTTTCAAAACATAAGGAAAACTAGATACTTTAGGAAAGTATCTCTATTACATCTCTATTAGCAAGGTAACATGCATTACAAATAAAACTTCCTGAAACTCTGAATGTGTTAGAAGCATCAATAGCAAAATGCAACAATTTAAACGTGTTATAGTCAAAATCTCCCAAATCAACCATATTATAATACAGCAGCAGAATCAGAAATGCATGAGAAATGCATAACTCCAAACCAATATTTATGCTCATATTTCTATGATGCCTATATAAGATTAGCAGAAAAATAGGCTTACATTTTAAACCCTTCAATTGTCCCTAAAGTTTGTGACAGGAAAGCTTACTGATGCTCACAAACGAAGTCTGAGCAGGCCTTTTCCCACCTATGGCACTATGGTCCCTGTCTTTCACCTAGAGCATGGGTCTTCAAACTACGGCCTGCAGGATGGACCCGGCCCACCATGCCCATTTATCCGGCCCACACTGTGGCCCGTTGCCCGCCACACAGGCGGGGAGGCAGTGGCTTGCTCGTTCGGAGATGGTTTTGGACGCTGGAAGATCTCCAAGCGAGCAAGCCGCTGCGGTGCACACCCGACACTGCCTCATGCGTGCCCAACGCTGTCTCACTGGCCCATCGCCGCCTTTCAACTGGCCCTCTATTGACAAAGTTTGAGGACCCCTGACCTAGAGCATCCTCCATCATGTGCTTCTCTTTCTCTTACCAGGGAACCCCAAAACGTACCACGAGCTCTTTCAAAAAGATGCACCAACTACAGTGGTGCTTTCTAGTTACCTTTAGCAGCAAGGAGCAGCTTTTGCAGTTAGAATCTGTCAGGATCCTGAATTTTTAGAAAATGAACCAGAAACAGAAGAGGCCATGTTGAACAGTTGTACATTAACTGTTACGTTGACACTTAACATAACAGTTAAGTTGTTACACCATATGGTCATTTATTTCAAACACATTGTGTTAAAATCAATCCACTCCTCATTCAAGCAAGCACTGTGAGAAATGATGTGCTCCTCCATTTATGAACTTGCCAACCAGTTAATATTCCCTACAATGAAGGCAATTAGTCAGTGGGTCCATTACTGATGCACACTTGCTAATTCCTTGCTCCCTTATTGTATTGGTGTTGATGCAACTTTAAGAACTGCAATTAATCCATTTACTTCACCCTTTATGATGAATGCTCAGAAGCACTGGAGCCATTGACAAAGTTCCTGTTTAACACCTACACCGCTGATCAATTAAGTAGTCAGACAATGTTACATTATACAAAATGCCATATCTGAAAATCCATACCTGAAGGAAAATGTTGCAGCTGCATGAATATGAATCAGCTTAATTGGTCTGCCCAGCAAACCCTTGGAGAATAGAGACATTTTAGAACGTGACAGGACTGATTTATTTTATGTTCAATATTCATGTCCCAAAGGAGCTGGAATGCACCCAGAGATAAACACCAAAGCTGAACCAAAAGAACACTCTTCAACTTTACGCCTCATTTGTATTTGCAATGTCACTATAGCAGATCTCTGTCTGAAGAACTGTACCTACAAAACTAATTACAACACTCAAACTACTGAACTGCCAAGTACAAACATTCCACCCAGTATTTAGGAACATCCACCGCACTGCTTGCCAGGCAAAAGAAACCAAGACAAGAAACCTCCAGGCATTCAAAGCCAAGGCAAAACTACACCCGGATGCTAGCAATACCTCAGAAAATCTTAGCAAGAGCGGTTTTAGGCAGCTCATCATCAACTAAATGACATGTTTATCACAATGCCTCCATACAGATTTACGGTACATTAAGAAAGTTGTGTACAGTTCTAATTGCTCCCTCCCAAACATGCTACTATAAGAACAAGGGAAGGTACAGGAAGGAGGCAGTTAAAATGGAAATGAGAAAGTATTTTCTTTACAAGGAAATAATAAAACGTCCAGAAAAACATGTCTAAGCCTGAAGAACATTGAATAGGAAGTAAACAGCAGCATTATTTTCACAAGATCCTATAACTCCAGATCAAGTTGACAGGACTAAACTGATTGAATGAAATTTAATAGAGTGAAATAAGTTGACTTGAGGATTGATTCAGGACAAGCAAATATTTCATCACACAATGTGCAATTATCGTATTTTTCCATGTATAAGACGCTTTTTCTTTAAAACATTTACTTAAAAATGAAGGTGCATCTTATACGCTGGGGGGGGGAGACTAGTGTGCATGGGGGCAGCGAGCACGAGGCGGGGGCGCGAGCGGGGTGCGAAGTGGTGCGCGCAGGCAAGGGGGCAAACCGCATGGGGGAGGGGAGCAGCAAGGTGCTGCGGGGGGCGGCTAAGCAGCAGGTGGGGGCGGCACACAGGGGGGCGGCGAAGTGACATGCGGAAGGGCGGCAAAACGGCGTGCATGGCAGCAGCTTGTTATCTGGGAATAGCTAGAAAAAGTGGGGGGCATCCTATACATGGGGACGTCTTATAGACAGAAAAATATGGTAGGTCACAGAATTTATTGTCACAAAATTGACTAATGACTGTGGCTAAGCTGCTTTTACAAATGAGTATTTCATAAATGAGTATATACCAATAGATCCTCTTCATGGATCACTGCCTTGTCATGGCGAAGGGGCTTGCATAGCTCAATGAAGCTATGAGCTATGCCGTGCAGGGACACCCAAGACGGACAGATCATAGCAGAGAGCTCTGACAAAACGTGATCCACTGGAGAAGGAAATGGCAACCCACTCCAGTATCTTTGCCATGAAAACCCATGGACAGTACCAAAAGGCAAAAAGATATGACGCCAGAAGATGAGCCCCTCAGGTCGGAAGGTGTCCAATATGCTACTGGGGAAGAGCAGAAGGCTACTACTAGTAGCGCCAGAAAGAATGAAGCAACTGGGTCAAAGCCGAAAGGACACTCAGTTGCCGATGTATCTGGAGGTGAAAGGAAAGTCCGATGCTGCAAAGATCTATACTCCATAGGAACCTGGAATGTAAGATCCATGAATCAAGGCAAGCTGGATGTGATCAAACAAGAGATGACAAGACTGAACATTGACATCTTAGGAATCAGGGAACTAAAATAGACAGGAATGGGTGAATTTAATTCAGATGACCATCAGGTATACTACTGCAGGCAAGAATCCATCAGAAGAAATGGAGTAGCCTTCATAGTCAGTAAAAGAGTAGGAAAAGCAGTACTGGGATACAACCTCCAAAATGACAGAATGATCTCAGTTTGAATCCAAGGCAAACCATTCAACATCACAGTAGTCCAAGTCTATGCCCCAACCACTGGTGCTGAAGAGGCTGAAGTTGATTGGTTCTATGAAGGCCTACAACACCTTCTAGAATTACCTCCAAAAAATGATGTCCTTATCATCATGGGAGATTGGAATGCTAAAGTAGGAAGCCAAAAGATAACTGGAATAACAGGCAAGTTTGGTCTCGAAGTACAAAATGAAGCAGGGCACAGGCTGGTAGAATTTTGTCAAGAGAATACGATGGTCATAGCAAACACTCTTTTCCAACAACCCAAGAGACGACTCTACACATGGACATCACCAGACGGTCAACACAGAAATCAGATTGACTATGTGCTCTGCAGCCAAAGATGGAGAAGCTCTATACAGTCCGTAAAAACTAGACCAGGAGCTGACTGTGGCTCAGATCATGAGCTTCTCGTTGCAAAATTTAGGCTTAAATTGAAGAAAGTAGGGAAAAGCACTAGGCCACTCAGGTACGACCTAAATCATATCCCTGATGAATATACAGTAGAGGTGACAAATAGATTTAAGGAATTAGATCTGATACACAGAGTGCCTGAAGAACTATGGACGGAGGTTCGCAACATTGTACAAGAAGTAGCAACTAAAACCATCCAAAGAAAATGCAAGAAAGCAAAATGGCTGTCTGAGGAAGCTTTACAAATAGCTGCGGAGAAGGGAATCAAAAGGTAAGGGAGAAAGAGAAAGATACACCCAATTGAATGCAGAATTCCAGAGAATAGCTAGAAGAGATAAGAATGCCTTCTTAAACAAACAGTGCAAAGAAATAGGAGAAAACAATAGAATAGGGAGGACCAGAGATCTCTTCAAGAAAATTGGAGATATGAAGGGAACATTTCATGCAAAGATGGGCATGATAAACGACCAAAATGGCAGGGACCTAACAGAGGCAGAACAGATTAAGAAGAGGTGGCAAGATTACAAAGAAGAACTATACAAGAAAGAGCTTAACATCCCTGAAAACCACGATGGTGTGGTCACTGACCTCAAGCCAGACATCCTGGAATGTGAAGTCAAGTTGGCCTTAGGAAGTCTGAGCAACAACAAAGCTAGTGGAGGTGACAGTATTCCAGCTGAGCTATTCAAAATCTTAAAAGACAATGCAGTAAAAGTGCTACACTCAATCTGCCAGCAAACTTGGAAAACTCAACAGTGGCCACAGGATTGGAAAAGGTCAGTTTACATTCCCATCCCAAAGAAGGGCAATGCCAAAGAATGTTCAAACTACCACACCATTGTACTCACTTCGCATGCTAGCAAAGTTATGCTCAAAATCCTACAAGTTAGGCTCCAGCAGTATGTGGACCGCGAACTACCAGAAGTACAGGCAGGATTTTGAAGAGGAACTAGAGATCAAATTGCCAACATACGCTGGATCATGGAGAAATCTAGTAAGTTCCAGAGAAACATCTACTTCTGTTTCACTGACTATGCTAAAGCCTTTGATTGTGTGGATCACAACAAATTGTGGCAAGGTCGTAAAGAGATCGGAATACCGGACCATCTTATTTGTCTCTTGAGAAACCTATATGCAGGTCAAGAAGCAACAGTGAGAACTGGTCATGGAACCACTGATTGGTTCAAAATTGAGAAAGGAGTTCGGCAAGGTTGTATACTGTCGCCCTACCTATTTAACTTATATGCAGAGCACATCATGAGAAAGGCAGGGCTGGATGAATCACCAGTTGGAACTAAGATTGCTGGGAGAAATATCAACAACCTCAGATATGCAGATGATACCACTCTAATGGCAGAAAGTGAAGAGGAACTAAAGAGCCTCTTGATGTGGGTGAAGGAGGAGAGTGCATAAGCTGGCTTGAAACTCAGCATTAAGGAAACTAAGATCATGGCATCCAGTCCTCTCACTTCCTGGCAAATAGATGGGGAAGAAATGGAGGTAGTGACAGATTTTATTTCCCTGGGCTACAAGATCACCACAGATGGGGCCTGCAGCCAAGAATTTAAAGGACGCCTGCTCCTGGGCAGGAAAGCTATGGCAAATCTAGACAGCATACTAAAAAGCAGAGACATCACCCTGCCAACAAAAGTGCATATAGTCAAGGCTATGGTTTTCCCACTTGCAATGTATGGCTGTGAAAGCTGGACCATAAGGAAGGCTGAGCACCGAAGAATTGAGGCCTTTGAATTGTGGTGCTGGAGGAGACTCCTGCGAGTCCCTTGGACTGCAAGGCGATCAAACCGGTCAGTCCTAGAGGAGATCAACCCTGAATGCTCTTTAGAAGGCCAGATACTGAAGATGAAACTCAAATACTTTGGCCACCGAATGAGAAGGAAGGACTCCCTGGAGAAGAGCCTAATGTTGGGAACAACTGATGGCAAAAGAAAAAGGGGGCGGCAGAGGCTGAGGTGGCTAGAGGGAGTCACTGAAGCAGTTGGTGTGAGCTTGGGTGGACTCCGGGGGATGGTGGAGGACAGGAAGGCCTGGAGGAATGTTGTCCATGGGGTTGCGATGGGTCAGACACGACTTCTCGACTAACAACAACAACCAATAGATATTGGTCAAGATGCACCAGATAGAGTTTCCATGATTATAGGCTGCATCTCTACAGCTGCTGGACACAGGTGATTTCTCGGGTTCAGAGTCACTAGGACTAGAACTCAAGTCCTGGCCACTCTTCTGGAGGAATAGTACAGAGCTGATTTTCACAAATTCCTGCAGGCCCCAGAAAATCTCCTGTGTAGGGCCAAACACAAAAAGGGGATCACCTGACAAGGAGATTGCAGAGAAGCTGAAAAAATTCTTCTGTCTTCACTGCAAAGAACACAGAACAGATACATGTTCTGAACTAATGTTTTCAGGAGCGGAGTGATGAACTAGGGCATATAGTGGTGACGCAAGATGAACTTCTCAGCCCTAACAAACGGAAAGTTTATAAAGCTATCAGACCCATATGGTATCTATGCTAGAGTTCTTAGCAGACTCCAATACAATATTGCTCAGCTTCTTACAAAAATATGTAATATTTCCCTAAGATCAGCAGCTGTAGCAATGGACTGGAGAATGGCCAATGTAACACTAAAGCTTAAAAAGATATCTAAGGCAGATCCAAGAAGTTACTGTTCCATGTCAATTGGTTGAAAGTATTATTAATGATAAAATTAATTAGCATATAGAAGAACAAGCCCTGCTGAACAGGAATCAACATAGCTTCTGAAAAGATAAGGGCTGTCTCGCTAACCTTTCTGAGTGCCAATAAACATGTGGACTAGGTGATCTGATAGTGTTTACTTGGACTTCCACAAGGCTTTTGACAAGTCTCTCACCAAAGACCCTGGAACAAGCTTACTAATCATGGAATAAGAGTGGGGGTGTTCTTATGAATCTGTAACTAGTTAGGGGTATAAACAGTGGAGTCAACATAAGGTTCTGTACTAGGGCCGATGCTTTTCAATTTATTCATACATGATCTGGAATTTATGCTCCAATGGATCCAACAGTCTGGAACCATGAAGGGGCTAAGTTTGCTGATGATCACAAGCTATTTAGATAGTTAAAGCAAAAAAAGAATCCAAAGGGATATCTCCAAACTGGAAGAATGGGCATCAACATGGAAAATGCAGTTCAGTATAAGCAAAAGTAATGTATATTAGGGCATTTACTTCCTTCTATCCCTTCCACTGAAGAGTAGGCAGAGCTAGAAAGAGTAACCACTAATCCTAACAGCAGTCTAATCTCCTGCAGCTTGCATTCCAAAGATTCTCCTCCCTTGTTTTAAGTGTTACATGTTGAATCCGAGGAAAAGAAGCATAAAAATAAAACAACGAAGCATTGATAGAAAATATATGAATATAATAGTTGATTGGTTCAACTAAGTTGCTTTTATTTATTGTATTGGTAGCTTTGGTAGCTTCAACTGGAAAACTGGTTAACAATTCAAAAATGAAAAAGAAATGTGAGGGGGAACCACAAGTGTACTTACAGTTGTGTGAACACTGGGGAATGATCATAGCAATGTTGAAGTACTCAAAGCATATCCCACAACGCAATAAATTATCCACTTCCTGAAATGAATTATAAAAAATATTTTTGTAAATTTAGATTCAGTAACACAACACAAAATGGTAATTTTGAGAATACACCTGATAATTAAAAACACGAATTACTGATTGTATTTATTGTAACTCTTATCCAGTCTTTTCTTATGTATGCTGCCCTGGTATTCATTAGGATGAACAGACATTTAAAAACACTTTGAGGCTGCAATTCCATCTTCAGACAAAATTAAAAAAAATCCTGTAACTCCCAGCATTCCCCAGTCATACAGGAAAGTGTAGGATGCTTTTTCAATCTAAACATGTAGAGGATTGTGCACTTAATAACTACTATTGACAAAGCATACTCAAGTGCTATCATAATTTTAAATTATATTAATTTGTCATAATAAGTTGCTAAGCATTGTACTAAACAAAAAGATAGTCTCTTCAATTGCTTTTAATCCCACCTAATTCACAGTTAACTTTTATCTTGTGCTGCTTTTAATTTATTGTTTAATTTGCAGCTTCTAATCTTATATATTTATTGAAATTTTATTTGTATTTTTATTGTATGTCATTTAGAGAGCTATGAGGCATGCCTTTCCTTCTTCAGCTGTGCTGGACCGCAGCTCTTAGATGCCTAGCCAGCAGGTGAGGAATTATGGGAGTTGGAGTCCAGCACATCTGCATGACAGAAAGGGAAGACCAACATAGGATGGATAATAAATCCTCTGAATATATACATCTGCCATTTTGAATGACAAGAGATTTGAGAATAATAGACAGCAATCTTCTTCCATTTAACTATCTTAGAAAGAAATTTTTAAGAGGAGGCACAATCTGAGAACCTCCTATGTAGAAACACAACCTCCACTATTGAGAAGTTTGGGTTACAAGGAAAAGGTCTGCAGAAGCGACACAACGAAGGCTTGAGGCAGCATCAGAGATATGCCCTCCTGCTCTAGCGGCCCATACCCCCTAACCCAAAAGGTCTTGGGCTACCAATGACTCTTCAGCGAAGAGAACAAGGCATTCTGCGCATTCTCAGGGGTACTCTTCTGTACTGACAAGCCAGCTACTTAGCGATAGTGGCCCCCCTGCAAAATCAAGTCCCCTTACTTTCAGCGGGACGAGGTGCTCAGGCCACTGGGATTCAGCCGAGACAGCCATGTCGCCCAACCGCGGCCGCGAACTTGATTACCAGACTCCAAATCACCCGCGCCCTCGCTCTTCCCGGAACTTCCCGGAACCAACCAGACAGCAACACTCCCTTCCGGGACTATCGCTGAGGCTGTTGGGCAATGTAGTCCACCTTTTGGCCAAAGCACCAATAGAAGGCTACGTTCGAGACTACGAGGTCTTTTCTCTCTCTGCAGGGGAAGGAAGCCGCTTTTTTTTGGAAAATAAGGCGCCGTGTTTGTCTGGCTGAGACGTCATTTTATTATATAAAAAAGTTGCTGTTGTTCCTCTAAGCCTTCTCCAACCTTGTGCCCTCCGAGTGGGTTGTACTGCAATTCCTCAGACAGCATTTGAAATGGCAATCATTTTCTGGCGGAGTGCCACTGGCTAACATGCTTGCAAGAAAGAGCCTAGGAGAGCACGCTTTCCATGAGCTTTTGGCTACTTTCAGACTGAGGGCTCTCAGCACTGCCAGTCCAAAGGAATTGTACAGCTATTCAAAGTCTTCTTTGTTAATAGTTTCTCTTTGCTCCCGCAGTTTAAGAAGTGGTGGGAAAACACAAGAGAGGTATAAATTGCAGACAGTGTCAACTTTGAGTGAATGAGAAAGAATAAGTGTTCAGTACAAGCCTGGGGATTGAATGGGGTGGAGTGAGCTCTGTTATACCCAAACTGGCCATCCCAAACTTTTATTCTGCAGTTTACCTGCACCAGTCACAGAAGCAGACAACATTGTCTTCAATTTGCTTATCTCTTGTGTTTTACCACAGCTGCTTTGATCCTTTTTGTTTTCATTTCACAAATAATGGTGAAGTTAGCTCTGTGGAATTGGCCTTTTTCATTTTCTGATTTAAAGGTGCAATCCTATGCATGCTTAACAGCAAAAAGTGCCACAAATCCCACCACTCTTTAGACAGCCATGCAACATTTCCCATCCTTTGGCCATGCAAAGGCTCATGCCCTAAGGTTGCCAGTCCTTTGGCAACTAGATGCTGCCTAAGTGGCTGGTGGGTAATTTGGAATCCCATTTCTGAAGAAGTGCTCTGAGGCTGGAGCTGAGACTATGAATTCAGAGAGATCTCTCGGCCCTCACACCCAGCACAGTTCCTTCTGGACCCTGGTTGCAAGACCAACCTCCGAGCTGGCACTGGGGTGAACAGGGAGGTGAGAAGTGAAGAACTGTCTCTCCCTCCTCTCTTCATAAGCTAGTCTCAACTGGCAGAGGACTGCACCTCAGTCTAAATGTTTTGGAGGCCAGGAGGAGCACTGAGGCTGGCCTCACCTCTGTGCTCCTTCCAGATTGGACAGCTGTTATCCTCTGAGTTATAGGAGGCTGCACTGGATGGCACTGCAGGCAGGGCATAATTTCTCCTAGCCAGCATCCCACCATTCTTGACACATCCAAATCCTGTGAAATCTAGATAAACAGTCCTGTTAAAAAGCCTCTGTTATCTCTACAAAGCTTGAAGACAGACTTGAGCATTTTCCAACCACCTCCATCACTAGATTTTTGCAAATATTCAGAGGAGTAATAAAATGCACACATATCAAGTGTTTTTGTGTCCTAATTTATATCTGTTTTTCTGCTTCTCACAAAGCAACTTGCAAACAATAACAGCGTTGGACATAAGCTTGTATATCCACCTGCACAACCACACACAAAACTATCAAAATGGAAGAAATTAAGTTATGTTTGGTATTATGGAGAGTAGGACATACGCATTAAGTTCAGGGAAGGCAATCTGAAAAATATATTTTAAAGCTCTCCTAAAGGGCTGCACCAAAGGTTTAAAATACAAAGCAGCAGAAAGTTCCCCAATATAGGGGCCAGCACCAAGGAAGCCCTGCCTTTTAAAGTCAATAGTCTAACTGTTCTAACCTGCAAGGACATGAACAAAATCTCTGATGATTTACATATATGGGTACGGTTGAATGAGTGAAGCCAATCTTTCAGGTAAGAGAGTTTGTGTTCATCTGTGTTTGACTATGAAAATGCCTAAGGATTTATATTTACACTTGAGAATAGAGATCGTAAGTGGCAGGCCTTTACTATTTCATTATTTAACAACCCCAATCACATGCTTGATTACTTGGGTAAGTCTCACTTAGTCCAATAGGGCTTGCTCCTTACCAAGTGTATTTAGGGTTGTTGCCAGACACCACAGTTGTTTGCATGTCCACTCAGAGATAAGGTTCCAATCCTAAACCCACTTACTGGAAGTAGGCTCCACTGAAATCAGGGGGATGGGATGGGCATCTGTATAGGATGGTTCTGTGAAATTTCTGGAAAACTCATATCACAAAGCAGTTGTATGAAATGCAACATCACAGTTCACATACTCAGTTGCTATCATTGTTTAAAAGTGGAGCAGATGGTTCTATAAGCCAAAGATGGGAGCAGAGAAAGAGGCAGAGCAATAGCAAAGGGAGAAATAGTTGAGAGACTCGGAGTATTCTCATAGGTGCATGGGAATTTAAGGCATAATCATATGCAATGCAGCTGAGGAATGCTAGGAGTTGTTGGATGTTTTTCATGCATAGGATTTTACCCATTGTTGCCAATCACAGCACCCCAAAAACACCCTAAAAGTAGTTGGTGGGAGAAAGGCCCCAGAAATATTTGGCCAGAGAGAGGCCACATAGTAAAAACACCAAAACCATATTGAATTTCCTGTCTCAAAAGGGAGTGAGGATAAGAACTAAATTAACTTTGTATAACCCTCAGCTAAAAAGCTAGCCTGACCTCAAATATAGTAAAGCGGCCGTGGGAACCACTTATAGCCACCATAATAGTTGCAAATGTACAGAGAGTAAGAACATGCTGAGCCTGTGTGAATATCGAGCAGATAACAAAAAAGCCATGGGAAATGTCCAGTTCTTGACAGAAGAAAGGACTTCTTGAAGCTAACAGCACTGGGGGTGCATACACTGATGTATTAGATGTGTATTATTAGGTGACCTGATTGCTTACATAGTGTACAAAACACATGTACCGGGGTGCATCTTTCAAGACTCAGATTTGGGAAAGCTTAATCCAACCCCCCGGTCCCCATTTATTCTAAAGTGCACTAGAATAGAACTGTTTCTGGCTCTAAGTCTCATCTCAGGCTGCTTTGGCTGGGGTCTGGGGTCCACCTGGACCCGCTCTTGCCCAGCTGAGTGTGGTAACACCATGGCACCAATTTCTTAGATTGTACAAATTCTACTAATGTCTCAGCACTTGTATCATCGGAGTACACTATACAGTTCCTTTTTTAGTTTTAGTATCTTAGAACTTTACAGAGTCATACATAATAATATTATCTAAATCCAAAGTGCAACTGCATACTCAAGTGATAAAAATGAAGCCAATTACTGACTTTCCACTTCCCTTGTTGGATACTACTGTTAATACAAGTATACAAAAAGGCACTTAAAATAGAAATGGAAGTGATAAATGACATCCCTTTAATTATTTTATTTGCCTGTTGACTAGGTTGTTTAAGGGATATCAGGACTGATCTGAAAATACCATCTCTGCAGAAGAAACCAAAAAAAAATTGCACCAAATTATGCCACACTTTCTCTATATTTCATTTGATTGGAACCAAACCTTAGATGACAAACAAACTACTGAGACTGCCTAGGCCAGGGCTGTGTACAGTTACCCGTTCAGATGTTATGGATTACAAGCATATTCACCTCCCTGACCTAGCATAGCCACTATATGTGGATGATGGGCCATGTAGGCCAACACATATGAAGGCACCAGGTTAAGTTTAGAAGACAGAATATAATGAATCAAGGACACAAAGCCTATAGTCTATATTAAAGGCCTACTCCATTTATATAGGGACGAGAATACAACCATGTAATCAGAATGAGCAAATGAACTGACTTATATTCAGTTGCCTCCTTCATGGATCACTGCCTTGTTGTGGCGAAGGGGCTTGCGTAGCTCAATGAAGCTATAAACTGTACCGTGCAGGGCCACCCAAGATGGACAGGTCATAGCAGAGAGCTCTGACAAAACATGATCCACCGGAGAAGGAAATGGCAACCCACTCCAGTGTCTTTGCCATGAAAAACGCATGGACAGTATCAACAGGCAAAGAGATATGATGATGGAAGATGAGCCCCTCAGGTCGGAAGGTGTCCAGTATGCTACTGGGGAAGAGCAGAGGGCTAGTACTAGTACCGCCAGAAAGAATGAAGCACCTGGTCAAAGCCGAAAGGACACTCAGTTGCAGATGTATCTGGTGATGAAAAGAAAGTCTGATGCTGCAAAGAACATTACAGCATGGGAACCTGGAATGTAAGATCCATGAATCAAGGCAAGCTGGATGTGATCAAACAAGAGATGACAAGACTGAACATTGACATCTTAGGAATCAGTGAACTAAA